CTTTTTTCTGTTTGCCAATGATCGATGTGCAACATATACACTGCTTATTATTATCACTAATAACACTATTGCGGCAATTGTCCAATAAAAATCTTCAAAGCAAACGACAAATTAATTGATTCCAACAACAAAAAATGTTCCGATCAAACCGATACTCACATGATTTGGAAATTAGTTTATTGGGCGGAATAATACCATCACATTTGAAGAAATGATCATTATCAAGCTGTGTTATGTAAATTTTTTTTCCTTTTTGTGTAAAAACATTGTCACTAAATATATGGGTGATATCAGCCCCGATTAAAACAAATTTTCCATCAATCACTAAACCGGTCCCTACTGTCCATTCTACTGTCATCATACTGTCACACTTTTTCCCTTGTATCATCAAAATATAATCGATATTTTCATCATAACAAAGCAATCTAAAATCTGTCACTTTCTCTATTCCACCTGAGTTGATTATGCGATCACCATTTTTGCATTTGTAAGCAGTAAGCCAAAGACCCGTAAGACTTTTACCATTTTCATTAGCTTCTCTTCGTTGTAAAGAATAGCATTTGCATGGTTCATTGGTTTCAATCAATGCTTCTGGTCTTTCACTTAAAACAAATCCTTCATGTATTTCTGATTTATCGATATTATAATTGATTCCCTGTTTACCGTCACTAGCAGTCATACAAATCCAATCACCGTCACTATCATGCATAATCCATGCAATCATATTATTTTTGATTTTTTTAAAAATTGAATTATCATAAAGAACCGGATATTTCTTCTTCATTGGTGTTGACATATATTTCAAATATGTTATATTTCTGCTAGAATCAAAAAAATCAGCTGGATCTTCAAATACATCCAAATCTTTCGTTATCACTAATACCCGTTTTTTTGTTCTTCCCATTGCCAATACATACGATTGCATCAAATCATTAACATCTGGACCTGGACGTACAACCTTATTACAGATTTTCTTGTTTTTTGATGTGTGGAGGGAACATTTTATGTTTAGCGAATCAAATTCATTTATTTTTCCTATTAAAAAGCAATTCACTACTTACATCTTTCGACGGTTGATATTGTGTAGATGTAGGAAATATATCTTCTGTGGTTTCATTATCTGTTCGGGTGTGTGATGTACTCATCAAAATCATAAGAATGACATAAATCCATTGTCCACTAGACAGTAGTAGCATTATTATCAATTGTGATTTGTTTATAGAATATAGTCAACAATAAGGTAAAGAATTAATTTTTTAGAAAATTTCCAAATAATAGCAGTAATTGTTTTCTATAATTATTCTCTAATTGAAATTTTTCTCAAATCAATTGAACAATTAGTTAATCGTAATAATATTAGTCAACAGAATCATAATCATTATTTGTTTGCATTATTGTTTGATATAGTGGCTGTTGCAATGAAAGATTGCTATTGTATTATATTTTGAAACACAATATGATTGTTTGTTAACATATTTTTTATTTTTTATGAATGTAATTATTTATTGAGGATGTATTGGATTGGTTGTTATTAATAAAGTTTTTATTATTAAAAGGAAGGGGATATTTATTTGGTTGGTAGATGTAATTTATCATGGGCCTCATCCAAAGAATTGATTCTAACATCATACACAAAGGATTGATTTGCTATCACCAATATTCTCTTGGATGTTGTTCCAATTGCTACTATGTGGAATTCGGTGCTATTATTATTCTTGAGACTTTCACAGATATGCTTTGTTGTCAAATGTGAAATGTTTTATAATTAATATATCAAATGTATTAATAAAGAAGTGGGAAATAATACAAAAATATTACAAAGATAAAAATACAAAAAGTACAGAAAATACAAAAAATATAAATACAAAAAAAAAACAAAAATAAAAAGAATTAATAATACTTACATCTTTTTGTGTTGCCGTCGTTATCATTTCATTATTGGTTCGGATTTCCGATATAGTCATCAAAATAAAATTGAAGATATAAAGGAATATCATATTCGATGGTAATGCCATTTTCCAACTGCTTTCGAAAATAAAGGCGAATAAACACACCAAACATTCATTTGGATCGTTCATTATAAATATTTTCATTTGTTTTGTTGTCAATCAGTGAAAAGTTCGATTTAATTGAATTGAATTAAGGGCAATTGTAGTTTATTCACAAATTACAATTCGCTAATGACTAACAATTTTCGTTTGTTTGGATTGCAATGAATAATCTTTGGTCAACTTACAATGCAAGCGAAATAGGCACATAAGTAATTTTCTCTACATTTATT